AAGGGGTCTTGGGATTTTCTACAGCACTTTGCCCGACAAAACCCCTAATATATAAAGGAAACAAGTCAACACTGAAAGCGAGAAGTAAAAGAAAATGGATAATTGAAAGAAAACTATAAAAAAAATAATCCTTCCTCTCAGAAATTTTAAACCGAAAGGAAATGCTAGAAATTTTATAAGTAATTTTAACTATTGAGTTTCACCATTGACATTGATTTTTACGTAGTAGATACTCAAATTCTGCAATGGTACATGGTATTTCAGAAGTAGATGAGACAAATTAGTGCTTGTTTATTTTTATGTATTTTTTAATTTGCTTTCTGGCAGAGGTTTCAAGCCAGGTTAAAAACATAATATATTAAATTCCTCAGCTTGTTGGTGAAAATGTTGTGATAGGAACAGTACAGGTGATGACACAGAAGAGCTTCACCCAAACAGAGTACAGAAATACATATTCTCCACTTTTCAAGCCATTGATTACCTATGCTTCCACAAAGGAAAATGATGCTCATTATACTGTGCGTGTTTTGGTTTTGAACTGAAAGATTAATAATTTCCTTCGGGTATCCAGCTAATTTGGAGGGCAAGGGAAGCGCTACTTGACTTGCCAGCCAAGGAGCTGCTTTCCAGGGCATCCAAAAAGATTTTCACAATGGGACTTCCTACCAAATTAACCAGGGTATTTCCTGAAGCTGTTGATAAATTAGCAATGTGTCCAGGATTATTCTGATGCTAGGTTTATGGAACTGGATCAGCTTGTCGCCTTCCTATTTATTTTATTTCTAGCGAAGGTAAACACAATTATGAGGAACAAGGGACTAACAGTTGGAAACTGAGTTTGTCTGTTTGAACTGGAAGCCAACTGCAGTGCAAGCAGATGATCCTCACCCCTCCTCTGGAGGGACCAAGCTCTGCAGGGCTGCCAAGTTGGTTAGACTCCAGTCAGATAGTTGTTACCAGAATCAAAGATGCACAGTGTTAACCCAGAGCAAGTGCCATGTGCGCTTGTGGGCTTTTGGAAGGAGCTGTTGTGCGCTTGTGGGTTTTTGGAAGGATCTATTGCTTCTTTTATTGCATGCGTCATGCAGGCCAGCAAGCACTGATTTTATTTTTTTTTTTTTTTAAGAGCCTGTTTAGGTGAATCAATACCGAGGATATAAAGAACTGTGTTATTATCATTGCTGAGATAAGAATCTTGTTGCAAAGTGAGATGCGCATGTTGCAAGACAGTCTCTTGAAAGAGTTTGCAGTCTAGGCAATGAAATAAAAGGGAATTTGGAGGAAGGAGGGAGAAGGAAAGAAATACTATCTTCAATTTTCTGATGAGAAACTGCCTCCCTGCGTGTAACTTTTGATATCTAAGTGCAGTAAGTACTGTTTTAGTAATTGCTAGTAGAAGAACATGTTTAAATTACCATGTTCTCCTACTCTAGTAATTAATAGAAAGAGAAAGGCATAGAAACAACTGTGGAGAAGCACTTGCCGGTCTCCACTGACTATACAAAAGCCATCTAGTCTGCCTGAGTTTCCCTAGACATCTAAGCTTAGACTTTGAGAATTATCTCCAGAGAGCAAAAAATGGGTTAAATCTGTTTTGTGAATCCTGCTCCCATTAAACTTGAGTGTGCCAGTTAGCTCAAGCCCCTAGTTCCTGCTCCAGCGTTCCCATCACTTTTTGGTAAGGGAGCAAAATAAAAAGTCCTTCTGTTGGAAGGACAAACAGAAGGCCTCCAGTTGTCCTATAATGCTTGGTATATTCACTTCGCACTTCCTTTCTTCTGTCTGAGTAGGCAAGACCTGGATTGTGCCTTTATGAAATCTGGGTATCAGTAAGATTTAAAAAATACAGAAAAGCTAAATTGGAAGTAAATTAACAGCATGGAAGAGTTAAAGAGAATTCTTTTTCCAAGTTGCCTTTTAAGTTAA